AAAAAAAAAACTGCCAAAAAACAAAATCTGCTAAAACCACGGGACTACGGAGCTGGTATTACGAATTGAACCACAGAACAGAGTGTATGAAAAATAAAGAAGAAGTCTTTATTTGTAGGAGGCACATGTTGATGTACACATCTCGTACTGTAGTATTGTCACATGTATAACCATTTCAGACAAGCTCTAGTACATGTAGTCATGATGAAGTACCTTCAGTCAGAAACACTGCATTCAAGGTACAGCATGAACACCATTTTCAGTACAAGTCAAGGCGGAATGTAAATATCACTACTTTATGACAATAACTAACAAAACATTGCACTGTGTGTGCAATGCCTGAACAACACGACGCTAACTAAACTTGGGGAATCATATAAATGTAATGTTCAGATCATCCATGAAGACTTTGGATTTTTGGAAATCAGGAATTTTGATAAAAAAGAGCTAATACCTGAAATAATAAAAGGTTAATTAGTCTATCGTATGACCGGCGATTGATTACGAAATGCAAATATAGCATCATGCTGTCTAAAATGCCAATCAGTTTTCAAAATACAGGTTGAGTGATTGGAGAGACATTATACTGTTCATTTAATGTTTGTTGTTTAACGATGAAGCTTATATAATCAAGGTTAATTTTTACGTTATTTTTTTCGAATAGAATTGATGATTACATGAACTAAAATAAAATTAACAGTGTGCTCAAAATTACAAGAAAACTATGAATATAAGACAAGAATGATAATAATAATTATACTATTGTAAAAATTGCAATTAGAAAAGACTAATAGAAAAATCAGCTCAATAAATTAATGAATGACACAGAGGCCATACGGAACAGATTAACAAAGAAATATAAGAATTCTATTTGTATATGAACATTTGAACTGTCTAAGGATATTCAAATTTTGAGGCATGCCATGAAAAACTGAAACCATTTCCATTGGGGGGCATCCCTAAACTGGATGAATAATAAGCCAAAATGTTTAAGGAGAAGAGAAAATGAAACTTGGAGATCGCTTCTTAAAGAGTTTCTATTTTACAGAACATCGGGCTTACCAAGTGACTCTTATAATCAATTTGGTCATTTTGATCTTATTCCTGAAACTCACACACTATTTGTCAAATATATATATATTGGAACACAATGCAAACTAAATTATTATTGGTAAATTGATGCAGGCGAAAGAAAAAACACGCGTATGACAGAGTAAAAAAAAATGTTACGGATGATTTTGAAGTGCATTTACAGCAAATACATGTTGATACAATTATACTAAATAATTTGTAACATCCTAAATATTCATTAATAAGGACTACTCCATTTCCCGAATTTATAAACTTTATTCACAACTTAATTAATTACATGTATTGACTGTTGATTATCCGTTTATTTTCTGCTTTTCAAAAATAACAATGATAAATAAACTTCGTGATTGTCAATTCAACTTTTTACATAATAGCCTGCCTATCAACACCATTGATTAAACATTCTACTAATAATGGAAGAAACAAATAAATACTTTATGTTTTGAGAACGAAAAACATTACTACTCTTATTTCACAATTTGAAACTTGTACATTGTAATGGGAAACTGAGATTTGTTATGCTACACACTAAAGTTAGATTCAAACTGCGTGCAAACCATTATTGAAGAACTATTCAATGTTACATAAAAGTATATGCAAAACTCGATTAACAACAATTTGATATTATGATCTACAAAATATATAAGACAAATAACAAACAACTTTAAACACCATTGCTCTTGAAATTGACAGCAGAAAACTATACCTTGCAATACTGTATACATACTAACTTTCGTTTAATTCAATGACACAGAGACATGTTCGAAACTTTGTTCACTTCTTCATAATTGAATAAGAGTGTTCAACCATTATACCCAATTTCATTTACCTTATCAACTATACTATGTGTGTTAATTATTAGGTAAGCGATCAATAAACCATGTTATCCATTATATATGGACTGAAACATAAATAATCCAGTTGGCTTTCTATCTTGTCTAGTCGGGCGAGTGTGTTTAGTTTTCCTATGCATGGGGATGTTTAATGGTTCTTAATAATATCTGTTGCAATGAATTCATTCCTATTACTTGCTAATTTATGAGTGAGCATACATATCCAATGAAAGCTGGCAGCTTTCACTGACAACAGCCTCTTCGTCATGCAAATATTCTCTCAAGACCTGCATAGAATCTTTTTTATCCATTTCCCCCAAAGCAGTCGCACATTCGTGGCGAACGATTAGACTCTCGTTAGAATTCTTCAACGCGTCAGTCAACACTGTAACTATCGTGTCATCGGCCTTCCTTCCAAGTGCGTTACCAGCCTTGATTCTCATTTTCCCAAGTATAAATGCCAATTCGTGTCGCAGCAGTACGCTACTGGCTTTCATGCCTATCGTTCGTTGTCAACATTGCCATGGTAACTAGTCTCTAAAATATATACTAACACATAACTGTTTTATTTGTGTAACACTACAAAATCCAGAAAAGGTTGTTGTGCTGTGGCGCATTAAAAATATCAATCTATCTATCAAAACAATATATACCTTCGGCAAGTGCCAGGACTGATTCGCTTGTCTTATTCCTTAATGCAAACATAGCTCTATATCGATCAAAAAATGCTAACGACTCGTCCAGCAATGTGCCTTTCAATGACTCAACATTGTCGTCATCTGATGCTGAAGCTGGATCAACACCTTTGTATGAATTCTCGACTTGAATATGTTTATTACTATTCAACCAGTTGATTATTGCCAGTGCCAATTGACAGGTCTCAGCAATCTAAGATTCAGTAAAATGTTATGCGTAAACGATTTTAGTGGAAAACGTGTGAGACTGTGATCAAAGCAGATTGTAGACGAACTAACATGTGCTTCCCGCAATAGAATATCAGTAGATGTTATGTCGTTGTTACGTCAATAAATAAAAAATAATGTTTTAATATGCGTCTGACCACTGTGCATTCAAGCTATTAAGTTACACTAGGAAGTATTTTATTATTAATATTTTTAACATTATTCCAAAACTGTCAAACCTTATGAAATTCTACTTGTCAAGTCTCGAAACTTAACGGCCGGGTCATCAATATTTTACAGTTTTGGGGATAGATGATCGAACTACATGGGATGTTTTATGTGCAAAGGATGTAAAAAAAATTCTCTTTTCAAAAACCACACTATACTGACCACATTGTCAGGGGTAGCAACATTTTATTTTTACCTGCTAAACGTATCACTACTAGTAATAAGTGCGAGTGTGTACTTTCGAAAGGGCGGTTTTATTTCTCACAAATGTGTAGATTACATATTTAAATACTCTACAAAGACTGGTACTACTACAGAAATTTCAATGGAAGCCGACTTAACATAATATCATGGCGGCCATTTTGTTTCTGAACTTGTGACGAACCATACATATTACGGAAACTCGCCTCTATCACTGGATCAAATCTATACTTTTCAAGTATGTAAAGCACTTCGTTGGAACCGATAGCACCAAGAGCTTCAGCTGTAGTAAAAAACAAAAACATATTTTATTTGTAACTTGAAATATAATAGATTTAGTTTAAATGAAGCATTGTTATTGTGCACAAATAGTTATTATATCATTGGAAAATAAATTATCATAATTTTAATTTGAAGTCCTGTATTGTTTGAAAGCAGGTCAGAAAAGGAGTTGAGTGATATCAAAAATTGGTTGAGTAGACGTTGAGAAAATACTTGACAGATACTGTTACAGTAAAACACGAACGATTAGTGAAAATGTTTACCTGCTTCATGTCGCACTATTTGTTCTTGACTTGTGTCTTCCAGTACATTAATCAGATATGGTATGACGTATGGGTCTTGTATCTGTCCAATACAAAATACTGCCTCGTGTTTTAGCAGTGCTGATGGGTCGTCTAGACATGTTAGCAAACTATCTATGACTTCCTTGCCGCCTAGATCACGCAGGGAGGGCATTCCCCTAAAACGCTCTCTCATAGACAGCTCCTTGTTGTAAAGTATCTGTTGCACCTTTTCGACAGTGATATTATCAGCCATGTTGGAGTCAGTATTATGAATAACACATTACATTGGGGTAGTTTGTATTGAGACGATAGTGTATCATTAATGTATAAATAGAATGTCTGGGATCCAATAATGGTACGACTTTACTCGACGGTAATCGTGAGACTGTTCAGTGTTGAATTTAGTGTCTCACTAAATGAAAGACATTTTATTGTAAAGTGACTGTTGACAAACAAGAAACTAATAATCGACCATAATAATCATACAACCGATATAACACAACATAATAATCGATATTACACAACATAATAATCGACACAACATAATAATGAACATAACACAAGATACAAGCGACTTACCACATCATAGTCGACATAACAAGACTTAATAATCCCCATAACACGAAACAAATCAAACGACATAATACGACATAATAATCGACATACCATATCATCATAATCGACATAACATAATCGACAATCGACATACCATATTATCATAATCACCATAACACGATAAAAGAATCGATATAACAAGATTTAATTTAATAAAAATCGATACAACTCGACATAACATGACATAATTGTCGGCGTTCTTTACTATATGTGTTTATATATTACCTAAAACCCTGCAAGTATGAGTGAGAATGGGAAGAAACTGTGTGGATTTGCGTTTGATAACTGCCATTAAGGTGATTGACAGGAAGGATAATTGGAATCTACCAGTTGTGCTTGTGATTTACATAACTAAGGATGTTTACGAGCTACTGACTTGCCTACGTGGGTGCTTGCATGTCATTGCGAGACAACTGCTGGCTAGACTACATTCTGATTGGCTCCTGTGGATACCCATGTGGTGTACCTGATTCTGAGTCATTTATTCCGTATAAATATACTAGACTGAGGACAGTTGGGGACCACCATTTCAACTGAGTACTCTATGTGCTGCTGCTGCGATATTATGAGACAAGTGATACAGGATTCAATCGTCATTCTGTGAGATTTGTATGAACTGCTTTGCGTTCTGCTGTTATCTACGGTGGCATCCAGAATAACAGTTTTCCTCTGCAAGCAAGACTTCTGTATTTCTTCGTTGTTCTGTTGCAGAAGCCATTGATTGTCATCAATTTCTTCATCCTAGAACTGTGATTGAGTTATCACCAATGCACACTTCACTAGGCAATCCCCCATTTTAGTGAATTTATTCATTGTATTATTCTTTGCTTTGTTTATTGTAATTATTTTGAGAAGTATTAAAGCCAGGAGCTTTAACTTAATATTTTGGTATGTATATATTTCATTTCCAGTACTATTGTCTTGTCTACCCCATTCTAGCAGTGAAACCCCTGTCCAGTTCGAGTTCTGTGGGTTTCCCTCTCAACATCAATAAGAAGGCCTTACACTGTGACAATACTAATCGCCATAATTCGACATACCACGGCTTAATAATCGCCACAATTGATGTATAAATAGTAATCGGAAGATCTACACTACTGATACAGTTGATTCGACAGAAATCGTGGGACTATTGTCGAATTTATTGTTTCACGTTATGAAATGTATTTCGTTGAAAGGTGACTGCGAACAAACAGGATACTAATAATTGACATAACAGGACACAATAATTAACATAACACAAGATTCTAATCAGCATCACACAACATTATAATCGACATAACATAACATAATAATCAAGAAATCATAACATAATAATCGACATAACACGATATGTTAATTAACATAATACTGATTATTAAGATTATACTTTCTTAGACGCAATTTATTAATGGAATGCGACCGTGTGTAATCCATTAATTATCTATTTGTGATTTTCCAGTCGTGAATTTTATAAATAGTCAGCTGTCGGACATTTCCCCAAAAGGCCTTGTTACAAAGCATTTGTTGCATCTTTCCGAGAATATAATTTTGAGCCAACGCTGTGATCTAATAAACAGCGCCACCAACGTAACATTGACAAATGAATCGGTGAAAAATGGATTTGACTACCCTCTACGCCGGCTTCCAGCAAGACTATTAAAGATCTGTCATCCGTCTTATACTAGTTTATTCAGCACAGCGCCACCATTTATTGACACGACTGCACACCCACACTAAGTCATATTTAGTTGCAGGTTTCGCTGTGTTGCCGTGAAATACGTTGGAGGCTGTTTATACTCATTTCATCCCGTTAAGCTAACTACCGAGTTAAGGTATTTGTTTTTTTGTGGCATTGTTTTGTGTTACCCAATCATTTACTATAAATCCACCACGGTATTGAATTATTATGACGTATAAACATTACACGTTGCAATGTGAAGCAAAGCCTGTTACTAATTGTCCTAATTCTTTCTGCAGAGAAAATGGAGTTGTCAAATTGTCGACAGAAGCTGGTACTTCTTCTACTTGGCCTGACCAAGAGCGGTAAAAGCGCAACTGGTAACAGTATCCTGGGTGAACACAAGTTTCGATGTGGGCGATCTTATATCTGTACAACCAAAGTTACAGAATATGGAACATGCGGTGTTGAGCGAGAAATCGTGGTCATTGACACACCTCCTATTCTCGATCCCAGTGATGAGATGACAGCTGAACACGTATTACAAGAGATCGGAAAAGGCATGTTCATGGCGAAATCCGAGAGTCGCGGCATTGACGCCATTATTTTGACACTAAACGCCAACGACCGACTTACGAAAGAACATGATGCCAGTGTTGATTGGCTTCGCCTTTACTTCGGCGATGACAATTTGTCGAAATACGGTATCGTATTAGTCACTAGAAAAGATCAGTTGGACGAAGACAACCTATCAGTCAAAGATTTCTTATTGGAGACGCCACCCTCTGTACGTGGGTTACTAAAGAGAATAGACAACCGCGTGGTAGCGTTTGCAAACAATTCTCGTGACAACGATGTCAGACAAACCCAAGTTTCAGAGCTCTTATCTATGGTTGATGGAATGAGAAAAGAAAACATGGATTCTCTCCTGTACATGAGAGAAAATGAAGAAAACGTGTTACAAATGGAAAGATTGTGTCGCCTGAGTGTGAATGAGACTAGCAGCGGTCTTGTTCAATTTTTAAGCTCAAGGCTGTGTCGATTGTATCACCATGTGTTAGAGTATATTGGATATGGTCGCTAGAAGATTTGTTGAAATACAATTAGGCGTAGATGATTAGAACATCTGGGTTGGGCAATGACAAACAAATCTGTGCATAATATTTATTTTTTTCACTTATTTTTTTTTTGCTATATTTTGTTTGCTTGATGAATTTGCTGTAAATTTTGTTCACAATATCTGAATATTCTGTGCAAATTATTATCCAATTCTGAAATCGCCTCATATATGCGTTTCCTCGTCAAGGGGAATAGGGTACAGAGTGTGAATGAGTGTTTTGTTGAACCATGGTGACCGAGAGAGACTTTCTGGCAATATATTACTGTTAGACAGCTGTGTCATTCGTAGTCTGTTTCACCGTGCAGCATTTGTAAGAACTCACTGTAAAGAATTGTACTTACATTGTACAAGTTGTACGGCATTAATAAATCAAAATGAAATAAAATAACGTCAGAGCTGGGCATATGAAATATACACATGCGATCCCATCACAGTCAACTACGATATATTATGGTTACAATTAGAATGTAAGTCCATTAACAACTATAGTCATGAACTGTGTTTAATAAATCTTAACAAACGTTATAGTCATTAAATTCGAGTAATGTATGTAATGTAATCTATATTTTGAATTTAGTAGCACAAAACACACCCCCATGGTTTGGCGGGCATGCGCGGAGTTGACGTAAAACTCATGATCTGATAGTTGCATAAATTAGCATTATTTACCAATAACCTATGCATATTATTTCACCAAGGCAGAAACCTACCAATCAATCAAAAGTCTATGGTTGTGCCAACATGGAAATAATGGTGTTTATAAATATACATCAGAGGAGTGAGTGTGTTGCAGACTCGTATTCTAACGTATGCGGTGTTAAATGGAATGTATTCTAGGTATGCGTCAGGTAGTCAATGTCACTATGACATCAAGATCATGCTACAACCTAGTTGTGTAGGCGAAAAACATGGCATATTCATTTGTTTCTTGTGGCAAACTGCTGTATAAGCACCCGTCAACGCTCGCACTTTCTAACACACACATTCATTGTTCACGAACGCCAGACACATATATTATCAGTATAACACCAACGTCTTGAATAATTCCGCTGTCATAGGGCAGTGCCCGGCATCAATAGTTCTTGTAAAAATATATGTACACCCTGGATTTTACGCTGTATGATCTGTTCATGGGTTCAGCCACCGGTCACGAATGATGACATTTGGAAGGGTTATATAATGCAATGCATCTTGGGAAGTACACCGACTTCAACATACATTAGGCATATTGAAATACGCGTCTGCTTGCAGTGGCTCGGCGTATTTTCATTGATAGTCAGTTCGAACTTTCGTGATGGGTGTATAAATGTTCGTGATTTGTATGTATCTTTAATACATTAAAAACGAAATCTAAATTGTCATTACAGTTAGCTTGTTGTAATCATGGCAACCGGCACTGATCAGTTAATTTTGGTACTGATTGGACGAACAGGTTCTGGTAAAAGTGCTACTGGTAATACTATTTTGGGAGACAAAAGTTTTGATGCGTCGCGTAGTGCAGTGTCCCAAACCATAAACAAGAAGTGGGGCAAACGCAGCAATGGGAGGGAAATCGTCGTTATAGACACGCCTGGTGTGTTTGACACACGTGAGGATGTTTCTAAAGACGTAATAGCCAAGGAAATCTCCAAGTGTGTAGGTATGGCAATGGCGTCGATGCGTTCGTGCTAGTTCTCAATCTTGATGATCGATTCACTGAAGAACACGCTCAGTCTGTGCAGATATTCAAAACACTTTTTGGAGAGGACATGATGAAGTACGTCACAATCGTTTTTACAAGAAAAGACCAACTTGACGAAGATCAGACACTGAGTGATTTTTTGAAGAACGTCATTGGCAAACCTACCATTCGATTGATGCAGATTTGAATTTTGAATTATTTTTCATAAATATGTACTCCTGATTTCAAAAGGGCAGCTTGTGATTCGTCATTTATAAGACTAGTTAATAACAAATAATTTTCTTGGAACATATGTTTGAATTATAAAGCTTGAGTAAGCATTTATTTGTAATATAATATCAACTATGGTACCGTGTTATTAACGATCCTTCAACTAAGCTTATACTTGTCGGTGTGATTGTCAGTTACTTCTTATATATGCACTGTTATAAATAAACTATTTACATCTACTTGGTTGTCTTTTTCATTTATTTAATTACCTCTGTTTTCGAGTCCGAATAATCTATGCTTCGACAAAGTAAACCGGTTGCCCATCTTCTTTTCAACATAAATAACATGAATCTTTTTAAAACACGACGCATAGGACGTGCGAGCTTGCTAAACGGCTCTTGTATTGTGTTTAATATTGCTCTGACAGAGAAGCAGTCGACGCCCACGAAAGTACTTATGTGTGATGCCATTCTTTATTTGCCAAGACGGATAAGTCGTAGAAAAAAGAAAGTGAAAGCATGAATAATATATGAAACTCAAAGTTTATCATAGAAAAAGTGTTTCATTGTTCAACTTCGGAGAATTCAGATAGTACTTGGGTACTAAGAAACCTACAGATTTCACACTTTATACTAGTACGTGTTGGATCAGCCTATCATGTAGTAATAATTCATGGGACATGCGATTTGTTAAATATTTGTTCAAACACTAGTTTGACAGACACACATTAACAATTTGCATAAGACCAACGGATGTGTGTGAACATATTAATATGTATTGGTTTTCAAAAATATGGTTTTGCTTCATAATTTTATTCTATTTGGGTTCGGGAATAATATTACCAACAACGGCGCTGTGGTTAAAACTGATAGCCTGGTTTTGGTTTCTGGCCAACAGATTCCATCAAATTTTCAAATTATAGCATTATAAATATTTACCTTCACATTGAAATGACCTTTACATAAATAATTGCTAGGAAATCTGCAACCTTTTTTAACATTCGAAAATATAGATAAGATTAGAACGGGAGTTTATGCGTTTGTTTGAAAACCGGCAATTTTCGCAAAACTGTTCTGTCAGTGTTGATTGAAGAGAGCATTATTATCTAAACAAAAAAAGGTGGAAACCAAAATCACGTGTTGAGTGTTGTATTCAGTAGATTTGGAGAATTTGCGGATACTATGTTACTCAGAAATCTACACACGTCACACCACCCAAGACAGTACGTGACGGGTCAACCGTCCCTCACAGGTAAATGATAGAGATGTTTGGCACTCTAATCTAAACAGATAAATCCACATTCAGCCACAAACAAGAAATGTTCAAAAGCAAAAATAATAAATCTTGCTTTCACTAGTTGTTTATTTGAATGAGTGGTCAACATGAAGTACATTAATGTGTGCTAAATGCCAAGTATTTCATTGCGTTTCTTCGGCGTATTCATCGATTCGTGGTTACCAAGAAATCAACGCATATAAATACTACTACAAGCAGACGGTACGTGTTGGATCAATATGTTCTGTACTATCATGTTTCAAATAGCCAATGACTGTGATAATGACAGTTTTGTATTTGATGGTTTACAAACATAATGATTGTTTTTTATTTGTATTTCACCTCGGCATATATACAACAAATTATACAATGGAAATATACATAGTGTAAGTTAATTTAAGCAAATAAATGTGCATTTTAAAATAAAATTACATACTGTCCCACTTTGACTCTTCACATTCTGTCATACACCAGCATAGGTAGTACGCATGGCGAATTTCAATTAACCTTAAACATATATATTGTGTTGTCAATATTTGTTCTGATAAATCAGCCACAATAACTTTCTACACACTATCACAGGGGATGCACATATCAGACTGTTTTTTTACATGCGGTTTGTTAAATATTTCTTGCAACACTTGTTTGGCAGACCCACTTCATTCTTACTTCATCAAAACAGACCATCGTCAATAGCGGGAGAAAATTTAAACGAAGTTTCGCGTTTGTCTAATTCCACGAGTTGTCTTGACTAAAATACGCCGCTATGAATTTTCTTTGTCCTGTTTGTATAATACGAGATCTCACTGTGAACGGAAAATTGTCTATTTAGTATTAGATGACATGCACAGTAGATTATTTAGTAAATTCTCGGTATTCACTGATGATTTACCAAGAAATCAACACACATATCCCACCGCGTATAGTCGGTACTTGCTGGATTGTCCTGTTCCTCAGAAAAAACTTGTCACAGACGAATAATGGACAATTGGAGCGCTCTAATAGGGATAGGGACAGATCAGTTTTTATGGCCGGGGCTGGGCCGGCATTTTTTTGTAAATGTAGAAACAAAATGAACAATGGAAATTATGGTGACCTCCCCCATCTGGACAAAGAAAAAAAGTGATGTGACTCCCCTCCCCCATTTTCAGTTCTTTTTAGAACATTTTTATAGTTACCTATTTAGTTTAGTTATAGTTAGTTGGTGTAGATTGTCGCATTCTATAGTCATTGAGTGAAAAATAAATGTTTCTACAAATTAGCGAAACAGTGCATGTCCTCAAGTGCCTGCTTGTCTCCCAGATCTTGTTGTCATTGTATACCGCACTTCGCTGTGATCCTCCTCTTCACTGACCAGAAAGAAAGTTGTACACTTTTGTGAGGAACTCAAACGTCAATACTGTATACATGAGGAGGAGCAGGAATTGGAGGAGGGGGAAGAAGAGAAAGGGAAGGAAGAAGAAGAGGAAGAGGGGAGGAAGATGGAGAAGTAGTAGGAGAGCAATGTGCTAAGGAAGAAATAGATGTTTTATAATATGAAGAGAAGGATACAGATAAAAGAACGAAGAGGAAAAAAAGGAGAAGTAGCTGGGAAATATAGGAATATAAATGAAAAATAAGATATTTGTTATATTTTATATTATTTTATATATATTCTACATTACTATTTTTTAATATCATACTTTATTGTGTTTCCTGTAAATCTCCATACTTTTAGTCATGTGATAGCGATTGCAAACTGCATACAATTAATAGCTTAGAATCTGTCAACCTATTTATTTCCACTTACTAATATTTATTTACTGTGGTATAATTTACACATTTACATAAAGCACTTTTTATATTTTTATTTAATTCATTGTTCTGTAGTCAATATAAATTATTTGAGATATAACCGTCCATACTTTACAGGGTGTTGTCATGTACTGTATTTGTCAACATTTACATTGACATTATTGCAATTTATATCTAGTTTATTTCTGTTTACAGTTTATATTTACAAATCACATTCCAGACTTACAGCAACAGAGTGTGTTGTACTCTTTTCACATTTAATGTGTTGGCATTAGTTGTTGCAATATTGTTAATATTTCATTTCACAAGTTTTTATATCATTTGCTGTCATACGCCAGGTTTCTGTGGTGTACCGCAATAAATTATAATTAAAATGCCGATATTTCCTAGTGTAATAATTTCGAAATGCTATAGAAATACAATGCAGATAATACCAACCCGAAAAGAAAGTAGCAGTTTATACTTGCAAAATTCTGTGACGAAAGTATGGCACGTTGTAACTCATAATTTGCAATATTTTATAAATAAGGCGCCCCCTCAAATGCTGTATGAAAAAGACTGATCACTTCATAAATAAGGAGGCCCCCCGGAATTTGCCGGCCCACCCGGTCTATAATAACTGATCCGGCCCTTATAGACACACACACACTCCATACAGACTATACGCGTCGCCCGCGGATCACCTTGTTCTTTGATGTTTACATCAACTAATAATGGATAATTTTTACATTGTTGATGTGAACGAACAGTGGGAATGAGATAGAACGTGAGGTAATTTGAAATATGAATTTAAGTAATTAACACCGATTTGGACTGCTTTATATATACATTATAACTATGTCAGTTATAAGAATAACAATATATATCTAAGTACGGTTGGAAAATCATAACATTTTTTGTTTGTTTTGATTTTAAAAATGAAAATATAGATTTTATTAATCGTGTTGAATAATTGCCTTAAAATAAAAAAAAAACAATTTTATATTCAAATTAAGGTACAGGGCTGCGGCAAGCATAGCAGCGTAGACCCAATCACCTCTGACCCAGATATCTTAGTTACATATGACCGAATGAAAGTACAGAGATATTGAATGCAATGTTAATCGACACAGATCAACAAGTAAAATTATGCACAATAACTAAACATTTTTAAACTATTAACAAACTAAAGTGATGAGGATATATTTATTTTTGTTTATATTTGAGCACAACTTCAAGAAATGCAAGCGCTAATTCCCCAAATTGTAATACATTTGAATAAACTTTTCAATAACTGATGTATTAGATCCTTTCGCAATCTCTTCACTCTGTTTGTCACATCCACCTGGTCCGCTTTAATTCTTCATTCGGTCTTCCTCGACTACTTTTTTCACACGGTCCGTCAGGTTGTTGGTGAATGGCTTATAACCATTTTTTGCTTTCATCTTCTCAATAATTTTCAACAGGTCAGTAGTTTGACGCCAATTGATCTGGACGTCTTTGGACTTGTTGTTGAACGCTATGACCCGATGATCACACTTCTCCAATATATCAGAAAGGAACTGTGGGACCTCGGATAAATACTCATCCAATGAAATACCATCATCTTCAAGTTGATCCTTCCTTGTGAGAAGTACAACTATGTATTTCATCATCTCTTCACCAAACAGTTATTTAACAGAGATATTGAATCGTATGCATGTGTTCTCTTGTCAAGCGCTGATCAGCACTCATTGTCAAAATGACAGCATCCAGGCCAGCCCCTGACTCATAGCAATACCGATACTCTTTGATATTTCAGTGGCAACTATTTTCGGAGTCATATCCTCGCGCGTATCAAACAAGCCTGGGGTGTCGATCACTACAACATTTCGCTTTCCAATAACTCGTTTACCCCATGCGGTACATCGCGTTTTAGCTACAGAAGACATCGTTGACATAAATTCACAACTTTCTAAGATGGTGTTACCAGTGGCGCTCTTGCCAGCACCCGTTGGCTCAACTAAGACCAGAATGAGGGGTTCGATTCCATGATTGCTACTAGCCATGTTTTCTGGAAAATATAGTGAAAAACATTGAGTCCTATTGTGAGATCTCCACAATTGCAATAGATATATCAAATCGTTGTGAGTTGTGTTAATAAATCCAAATAAAAGTCACATCAAAGACATTTCAAAAACTTAACTTTAAAATAGCACTTAGTGACACTACGTGGTGTTAAGTCGACACAAGCCTCGCTCGGTATAAATATTGTTAGAGAATATCTGAGTTATGCTAATTGCGTCGAGAATGGTCACGTGGTTATGTGTATCAATGGTGAGTATGCCCTCAACGAGTAATTTTACTTCAGAATATATTGGTAAAATTTCTACGTCATAATGCATGGATAAAAAAACACGTACATTGACATAATAAATAATTTAACTAATCAGCGAGTAATACCAAGTACGCGAATAGATTTAACACATATGCAACTTAAGTGATATTCATTTAAAACATTTTTGACTTTTGTGTGTGACAGAATGAATAGCTTAAGAAACCAAAAGTAAACGTTCAATAGTTCACCTTCGGAGAATTCATCTATTCTTAGTTACTAAGAAACAGAGTTTACGAGATAGGCCAACTTGTCCAGCAGTACAAATGTGTTCTCACAGACGAATGATACGTGCTCTAAATGTGGTGCATTGATCTCCGAATATAAGTAACATATTGTGAAAAAGGTATTTTCATCGCTTTTCATTCGTTACCATGTAAATTTCTAAACAAAACAGTGATTAATGTGGATAATATATGACGTGTTACGTGGGTTTCCCATACAGATATGTATAGTTGACAAAGTGGAAGCGATCCTCACCGCCCATAAACAGGCAGCGAAGACACAAATTATTATAATTATCTCGTGTATTCAGTCAAGTCTCATGTACATATTATATTAACGAGTAATTTATCTGATGAATGGAAATCAGTCGAAATAACCAACAGACCTTCGATTCACCGTACTTCTCACAATAAAATATAGCTGTGCTAAACAAATATTCATTCATAATTCATAACCAATATTTAATTGAATTCGATGATCCTGTGTTTAAGTCACTTTGCTCCAACTACTGGTTGCTATTACGTACCTAGCCTGAGTAAACAGACATGAAGTCTATTTATAGTATAGGCGAGAGGTCAATCTGTCCTGCATATATTGAAACATGTTTTGAAATAAACATGGACTAAGTACTAGATTCAGAATAAAGGATGATGTCATGCGTGGTACGAGATTGTCTGGTACTGTCGTTTGAATCCATAGCGTTCATATGTAAATTAGTTCTCCATAGATGTTCGGCATGAATAAACTCGAGATCACATTTCGTATTTTCTGTTTCGCTAGAAATTGCCCACATATAATCATAGGTGAAGGATTTACCTAATCATATACATAACAACATTGTATAGCGCCATCAACGAATTTGAACTTACTATTTAATGCCAATGTCCTGCATGCACCCCTGCAAATAAATTAGAGTCGTTGTATACGACTTGAATGTTACGCTTAAAGGTTAATAATTTGCTTTCTGATGCTTGACACGATCTCACTCAGAACCTCACATAGCCACTCAAAGCAGACACGTTACGCCACATTGCACTGCACTAAAATTGGAACTTAATATAGGGCATAGTGAATATGCTTTTACAATTACATGGGAATTTCAAGTCCCTAACCCCTGAGATTAATTCAGCTCGATGGTTAGAATGGCCTACAAAGATCCTTGGGTACCAATATACCAACCGGAGTGAAATAATCGAAATTGCAGTCACTTATACGAACATAAACGTGAAACCCGGGATTCGAACTCGCGGCAAACGCATCTCGCCATTGTAAGCAGATTCGAAACTACGACATCACAAACAACATGTAAAATATAATCCACTCACAAATAATGGTCAGCACGAGTTATTAGGAATTTCCTTGTGAACATTTATGTCCCCCATGAAGTGAAAACACCTACGTGTAAATAATCGAAATTACATATATGAACACAGAAACATGAAACACGATGAGTTCCTTGCCAGTAAAACTAAATGCTAATGTTGTCTATCTTTGCGAAAGCTGTCACTGTCACGGACGAGTTTAATTATCAAAACATTGAATGCTTTACTCAACCCTCGATTCGATGAATGACATTTACTGACACGGGTTATTCTGTTGTATTGAAGCCAGTGTATGGCCACTGTTCTGGTTGCTGTAGTTTACATATATGTAGTGGTTTTATAGTGCAGTGCATCTTGGGAAACATGATACTTGAACATCTCTGAGGCGGAAATTCTGAGAAAACTATTTCGGGAAAAACGCCACAAATAACAGCTATTGGTTCAGGGGTACCTAATACCCCAAGCAACTCTGGTCAGTAGTCACTAAAGTCTCTGCAGTACAGGCTGAACAACTGACATCTCACGGTAAGTGTGTGCGCGGCAGTATAATCTCTAGGTGGCGATGTGCAACTTGTTCACCTCTAGCTGTTATGTCCATGCATTCCCAACTAATATAGTATTTCCGCTTCAGATTGTTCAGAGATTTTAGACTGGTAGTTCGTTCATTTTTTTAAGTTTTTTCCGTATCTGTCTTCACAGAATGTAATGATTGGATTTGCATATGTGAGGTCAAAATCGATAACGTGAACTAAATGCTTTTCTTACAGATATTGTCATTATGGCAACAGGCAACAGGAAAATAAATTTGCTGTTGCTTGGAAGAACGGGGTCTGGTAAAAGCGCAACTGGGAACACCATTCTTGGGCGAAATTGGTTTATATCTAAGCGTAGTGCGTCGTCAACCACCACGGAAGCCGCCTGGGGGAAATGCTCATATAAAGCAAGAGAAATCGTCGTAGTTGATTCTCCTGGCGTTTTTGACACACGTGATGGCGTCTCTAACAAAGTAATTGCTAGGGAAATAGCCAAGTGTACAACCATGGCACTAACTCATGGTCCAGGCATCGATGCATTTGTATTGGTTCTTAGCATTGATGATCGATTCACGGGAGAACTTGTTGAGTCTGTGGAAATATTCAAAGAAATATTTAAAGAAAGGTTTCTGGAGTATGTTACCATAGTTTTTACAAGAAAAGACCAACTCGATGAAGACCAAACGCTCACTGATTTTCTAAAGGACTGTCCGAGTAAACTCCAACAGCTGCTAAAGCAGTGTGATAATCGTGTGGTTGGGATCGACAACAAAACAAAAGATGAAAATGAAAAGGATTCTCAACGTGATGAATTGATCCAAAAATTGATGACGATGATGCAAAAGAACGGCAA